TCACTTTAGCTAATGGGGCCTCCTGCTGCCGCCGCGCCGCCGGAGCCCGATTTCTGTTCTCATCCTGAAGCAAAGTTCTTAACCTGAAGCACTATTTCTGGGTTAGTGGAGTCTGTAACCTGAAGTGTATGTAACCTGAAGCGTATGTAACCCAAGGTACCACTGTGTATTGGAGCAAATTCCATAGTTTAACTCAGTGGTAACAAACATGATGCCCCACATGTGTTCTTGGACTACAGTTCATATCAGCCCAAGCCAGCAGGGACAATGGTCAGGGATGATAAACATTATAGTTCAGAAACATCTGGTTCTGTTTATGATTTTTGAGAAGCAGCATTCTGCCTTTTCAATATGTTCTCTTCCCTTCCCTGAAAAAAGAACTAAAGAAACCTAAATAAATATCACAAAATTGTTGGTGGGATCCTGAGTGCATTTGTGCCAGAACTTAAAGGGTTATGGTAACCTCTCCCAGGCCCTACCCAGAAGTGAACCCACTGAAATTAATGCACCTAATTTAGTCGTGTTCGTTGATTTCAGTGGGTCTACTGTGGGTAAAACTGAGTTGACTACCACCCCTAGACATTTGGTTCATGCCACATCTGTGTACAAGTTGAGGTTTGCCAGAGAAAAGCATGTTTCTGAATCAGAAGAATCTTTATTTGCATCAGCCACTCACCATAGCAATAAAATAATAAAATAAAATAAAATATAAAATAAAATATGTACAGTGGTACTTCAGGTTAAGAACTTAATTCGTTCTGGAGGTCCATTCTTAACCTGAAACTGTTCTTAACCTGAGGTACCATTTTAGCTAATGGGGCCTCCCACTGCCGCTGCCCTGCCAGAGCATGATTTCTGTTCTCATCCTGAAGCAAATTCTTAACCCGAGGTAATATTTCTGGGTTAGCGGAGTCTGTAACCTGAAGCATATGTAACCTGAAGCGTCTGTAACCCGAGGTACCACCGTACTGAAGATAGAGGTAAAAACTTAACTATAGAAAACACATTTTGGGGGTTTACATCAATAATAAAATAATAGATCTTATTCTATTATTTAGGCCCCACTAAAAACCTTGCAGTTTTTGCTGTCACCTGATCATCTTGATCTGCTAAAAGAAAGGACACAGTAGCAGTGGTTGAGCAACCTGGCATGGACAATAGTAGAGGGGTAATAACCTCACTCCTCAAATCTTTATAACGAGTGCAAGCCAGAAGCACATGAGCCACTGACTCAATACTGCCATCTCCACAGGGACATAACCATTTTTCCAGTGGAATTTTTTGAAAATGAAAGCATGTTATTGGGTCCTCATGAGAGACACATAAGCTGGATGCCATCTCTGTTCCCCCTTGCAAGTGCCATACTTTACCATCTATAAGACGTCCCCAAGTATAAGATGCCCCATATTTTAAGAAAATGGGGGGAGGAAAGATGGCACAGAGTTGTTGAGCTTTTTTTTAGGGGGGATTGTCGAAAATCACCCGCCCTACTGCCGGCGCATCAGCCAATCAGCACCACCCATTGAAACAGCAACCAATAACACGCACAATAGCTGCCACGGCAGCAACAAATCAAACATCCACCTTATGTATAAGATGACCACCACTTTTTAGCATGATTTTTAAAGAAAAAAGCATAGTCATACACAGAAAAGTACGGTATTTGCCTTGGATTGCTGGAAAGCACTCCCATCCAGAGCTGGAGGAAACATGAGGGGTCTGGTGGTACCTACCAGAGAACTGGACATGGCTGGGAAGAAAATATTCTTCTTCATCCCTCCCTCACATTCATTATAGCAGCCACCTCACTTTACCTAATGGTAGGACTGGTCCTGTGGGGGAGGGTCCTCCTGCTCACTCCATTGAGTAAGACCCAGGACTTCTGCCACAAAGGGACCGCTGCTCAGGATGTTGGGAGCTCTTCAAAGGCTCTGTGCTGCTGCAGTTGACCTGAGTGGATGAAAGCACAGCTAAGCCAGAAGTGGGACTGTGGAGCCTGACATCCTGATGTGAGCTTGAATGACGTAAACCCACAGCAAACATGGCAAAGAAAGCATTGCATTCATCATCATCATCATCATCATCATCATTTATTTGTACCCCACCCATCTTGCTGGGTTTCTCCAGCCACTCTGGGCAGCTTCCAACAAAGATTAAAAATACATTAAAATGTCACATATTAAAAACTTCTGTGAACAGGGCTGCCTTCATATGTCTTCTAAAAGTAAGATAGTTGCTTATTTCCTTGACATCTGATGGGAGGGAGGGGGCCACTACCGAGAAGGCCCTCTGCCTGGTTCCCTGTAACTTGGCTTCTCGCAGTGAGGGAACCGCCAGAAGGCCCTCGGCGCTGGACCTCAGCGTCCGGGCAAAACGATGGGGGTGGATACGCTCCTTCAGGTATACCGGGCCGAGGCCGTTTAGGGCTTTAAAGGTCAACACCAACACTTTGATATTTTTATATTTTCTGCTCAAAAGCATATAGGTTTTTTGGGGGGGGGGGGGCTTGCTTTTTTTTTTAAAAAAAAAGCTGCTATACTTGCAATGTATTTTCACCTGCGACTACAATCAGGAAAACAGCTGCAATGTGTACTGATACAGCTTTTGTTTCAAGGGTTGTCATAGGAAGAGTGTGGTACTTCAGAAAAACAATTCGGGTATACATATCATCATGAGGCAAGGTTCTGACATATTCAGTGGTCATACTGTAGTGGAGAAGGAATGTCAGGGAGTGGAGCTCTAGGCATGGCTGGGTTATTATCAGATGTAACCAACGGCGATATTGGCAAGTGAATGAGGCGATAATGAGGCTTTCAAGTTTGCATAGCAAACAAGGAATTTCCAGGAATAAGGATGATGGTGGTGGTGATTATTGTACCCCACCCATTTGACTGGGTTGCTCCAGCCACTCTGGGCAGCCTCCAACATATATAAAAACATAATAAAACATTACACATTTAGAGGAGGCCAGATATTTTTCTTTGATGGGGTCCATACATCCCATTAGCAGTTTAAATGGTAACACTTCTTGCCAAGTTTGCATTCTTAATTAAAAGCTACAGGTTGCATTTTAGCTTTCTGGAGATCTTTTGTTAAAGCTCAATGTGTTTTACAAGTCGAACCTCTGCAATCTGAAGTATGCACTACTGAATCCAAGAGCCCTTACTCCCAGGAAAATAAGCACAGGGCAGATGCAGTCATGTTGACCCTCATGAAGTTGGGTATATAATAATGGATCGATACAAAGCATTTCTGGACTTGAGGGGCTCTACTGAATGAGGTCGACCTCTTCAAAATGTCCTACTGTTCCATTGTTCAGTGGAATTTACTGTATTCTGTTTAGAGCCAAGGGAATTGAAAATACCAGAGTCTGGAAGCAATAAGAAATGCTGTATCCACAACGAAAGAAACATCCAAAGTTGTTGATCACTGACAAAATTCTGTGCTTGATTGTCTTCCTGCTATTCACCTTCTGCTGCATTACAAACCTATGGGGATTCCCTAAACTGCAGGATTGTTTATAGAATGAATGAGAAGAGATTGCAAGAGAGGAGTGCCATGATTTCCCCTTCAATGGGCAATTGAAAAATTCATTCTGGTGCTAAGACAGATGGATGGTTGCAAAATATAGTAGATGGATCATGTTTCAGGATTAACTAAATGTGGCAGTTCAGCCGTCTCAGCTGCAAGCCAGGGACTTTTCAAGTACATGATGGCTTTTCAAGATTCCTTCTGATTGCAGGATGTGTGCTCTCATTTCATTATCCCGTACCAGGCCTCACTTTTGCACTATTACACTGATGAGGTGCCGAGGCTGAATGGAAATTGAGGTTTGACTTAGAGCCAACAGCAGCAAGCAATCTCTTGCTGGAATCCACAATTTCATTTGAAAGGACGTCGGTTAGATCTTGCTTGCCAACACTGCTACATGCAGTGTGACTTCCAGATTCTGGGGGTCCTTTGGGCATGATGCTCTTGGTGCCCCCCTCTGTCCATTCATCTGTCCTATCCAGATCAGAGCTGGAGAGCCTGTAATGTTCCAGATGTTACTGGAGGACAACACCCCTTCTTCCCTGATCTTTGTTGATATTTGTGAGGCCTGCTGGGAAGTGGACTGTAGGGCTGCTGTCTCCCCAGTCCTGCTCTAGACTGATCCACACCACTGCCCAGAAGGGGAATGCCAGGTGCACAAAGGTTGCTACTCCTCCTTGCACTTGTCTCTGCAAGCACACACAGAGATGGCAGGCAGCAAGTCAAAATAGGAGGAGTAGAGCCAAGTGGCCCCTTTACCGGGCATTGGGTTTCAGCAGATGCCCTATAAGGCCAGTTGTTGATGATAGCCCTGTGTACATGCAAGGTGAAACCAGTGAAAATCTGAGCTGAAGCCATTTTGGCTAGTAAGTAAACAAACAAACAACAAACAATATTTGTGGCCACTCAGGTTTGTGGTTTTATTTCTCTTGGTTTTATAGCAATTTTAAAATTGAGTTTTTAAATGTCGACAATTAAAATACACAACAAAACAATCCCATTGAAACATTGAAATATGAACACCCATAATTAAAATATCCTGAAAAAGAATCCCATGGAAACTGACGGAGAGATCAAGAGAATGCCTGTGTAAACATGTCATCAAAGAGTGATTGAATGCCCATACAGGTGGGGCCACATGTAATTCATCAGGGTAGGCATTCCATAGCTCCACTGCCACAGGTGGAAAAGCCCAATTCTATGTCACCACAAGCCTATCATCAGTAGGCCGTGGCAAGAGTAACTGTGTCTCATGGTGATCCTGCTGCTAAAACTATGTACATATGCATGCCACTTAACGATCACTTGACCACCTCTTGCATTTGTCGTATGCATTCCAGGCATTCTTCTCCTCTTCCAAAATGGCTTTCCTCCATCCATGCTCCATTCATTCATTCTCCTTTTCACCAAGTTCCTCCTCGTTCTTTCTCCAAGTCTTTCCCCATTTGTTTTCTGACTACACTGGAAGGGCCATGGCTCAGTGGTAAAGCATCTGCTTTGCACACAGAATGTTCCAGGTTCAATCCCCAATATCTCCAAGTAGGGGTGAAAAAGATCTGGAGACCCACCAGCAATCAGTGTAGACTATACTGAGCTAGGTGGACCAAGAGTCTGATTCAGTAAAAGGCAGCTGCTCATGTTTCTACCTTGCTTCCATCTGTGCCCCCTTCCCTCCTTTCTCATCCTCTCTTCACCCTATTCTTCCTCTCCTCTTGTGGACATTCTACATTTCAGCTCTTTCTCATTCAACAGCTTGCACTCTTGACCCTTTTCTGTCATCTTTCTTGGAATCTATCACTCCAGCTATCCCGCCTTCTCCAGATCAGATCTTTAAATCTTTCCTTAGCGCTCAGCTCTTCGCCTTCTTGCACAATGTTTGCCCTTGTTGCTGTGAATCTTTTAAAGCCTTTGACCTTTTTTCTTGCTAACGAATATCATCTTATCTCTTTGATTCCTTCTCTCTCTAGTTCTTGATCTGGTGGTGTTTCCTCAAGCCCTTTGATCTTTATCTGATAATTCTCTTCGTGATCTCTGTCAGTTTGGATTTTCATCAGCTTATTCAGCGGAAACAGCTCTCACCTAGATTTCTGATTATCTTCCGGGTGATAAATATCAAGGGCTCTCTCTTTCTCTCGTGCTGATCTTTTCCTCCTCTTGGATTTCTCTTTGGCTTTTGATACCTTCTACCATTTTCTTCTCTCTGTTCTCTAGATTTCTCTGGCTGCTGTTATAATTTCTGTTAAACTCATTATCAGTGGGGTCAGTGTCACGTGCAACCTGACCACAAAACTGATAAGAACCAGTTGAGAAGGAACCTAATGACTGAATATTAAAAATTACATATATGGTACAAGGAGGATTCTGATACATACAGTAAAAATAGGTTGAGTAAGTTGCATTTCAAGGGCTGTGACTGGTTGAGAGATGGTGAGGTGCTGGGATGGCAGAAAGTGGTTGGGTATAGGATGAACAGCTGGTATATATTTTTCCTATATAGTGTGTATCCTAATGGAAAGTTCTTGCAGACTCTTGGAACTCTGTGCTGTAATTTCATTACTGAATAAAGCCTCACCAATTGGGGATTTGGTGTGAGCCAAGGTGGAAACCCCCAGGGAATTTCCCCACACACTTCTCTGTCATCTCTCACATTGATTGTGCTGAAAATTTCTTCCACGTCTTGGATCATTCTTCATCATTTACAGAGAAAATAAATTGCATTATGAAATGATCAACAGGGAAAGTAAATATTGCTGGAATTCTCATGAGTGAGATGCAGAGTTTCTGCTGTGCTTACCTTACTTTTTTTGGCAGTTGAGGGGTTTGGCGAGTGCCCTTGCTTTCATTCTACAGATGATCTCATCAAAGGTCTGCACTGTGCAGACTTCTTGGGTGGACACAGCCTTCAATCAAAGCTCAGGAGCTCTTAATTGTGTAAGGAAACTACCTGAGTAGAGCTGTCTCCCTCAAGCACACATTCAACCCTCAATATGTGAGGAGGGGACAGCAGGACCAGCGGTGGGGACACGTGGGATGTTGTGCAGCCAACAGACTTGTCTCTGCTCTCTCCTTTGCACGACGATAATCATGTGTGAGGATTGGAGTGACTTAACAAAGTTTTGGTCTCACATCCAACTCCACAGAGAGCTCTCCATGGTCCTGATCATTTGGTCCTTGACCTATACCCTTCCCACATCCAGTCAGTCAGAAAGACCATACAGAGCAAATCCTGTATGTTTTGACTTCCTACCATACTGAACAGTGGAGGAAGAAGAATGGGGAAAATTACTATCTTTGTTGCTCACCCATGTGAAGTAGCTTCCTTTAAAACAAACCACAAAAGACATAATGTTTTCAGCTGGTCTTCAGCACAGGAGAGACAAGTGAAGTGCTTTTGCTTTTAAAGAAATAAGTACTGATTTTTAAAAAGCAAAAATGAAATGAAGGATTTGACTTAAAAACAAAATGAGCGAGTGCTACCATCTCAAGTGCTTGGTAGCCAGCCTCGATGGATACCTGCACTTCAGTTAAAGTGCATTCCTCCAACTGAGCTCTTTTACTGTAGTTCAGGAAACACAAGCAGAAAGGGACAGAGAAAGACAGGCATCAACTACCAGCCACCTCTCAAAAATAATGTATGCTCAACCCCCATATACATGTATGTGTGTGTATATATATGTGTGTGTGTGTGTCTTCTAAATAAATTCTAAACCGCCCTGTGAATGAGGCATGGAGCAGAAACCTTTTTCACGGAGGAAGAAAACTTTATAGAAATTGGAAGCTTTGACACAGTAGTAGCTTATGTTCCATAGCTGGCATGCTACCCTGGGACAGATTTTTCTCTCTCTTTATATACCCTAGCTCTTTTTTCGACTACCCTTCCTTTTATCTCCAACACTAAATCTGTGCTGGTAATCTTCAGCACTACCATTCTTTGTACCTCTCAGTCTTTCTTCCACCCTTATGGAACATTTCTCATCAGTGAAGTGGTTCACTGGTAGGAACCACCAGCTGCTGATGCGAGGCACTCAAAAGGATGTGAATTCCTACCTTTATTGGTAACTATCTTGATGAAGCAATCATGGTGGGGACAAAAGGATGCCACAGTTAGAGCCATGCAAGGGCTCAGTTCCTCGGTGTTTTTGGCCTGCCCAGGTGGAGGGTAGAGAAGCATCAGTTTGTATAGAAGCTTGCCTACTGTACAAAGGTAAAATTCGCAACTTCAACCACTTTGGCCTCCTCCCCGCCCCTCACTGGCATGTGGTCCTAAGAAGCTTGCCCAAGTGGGAATGTGGCTGTTGGTCTGGAAAAGGTTCCCTGCCATGGGTTAGGTGATGCAGGATGCTGATCCGTGTAGGTCAGCCTTTCTCAACCTTGGGTCCCCAGATGTTTTTGGCCTACAACTCCCATAATCCCTAGCTCACAGGACCAGTGGTCAGGGATGATGGGAGTTGTAGGCCAAAAACATCTGGGGACCCAAGGTTGAGAAAGGCTGGTGTAGGTGATTAGCCAATCGGCAACCACGTACTTGCACAGTGCTGATTTCAGCAAAAGCAGCTAGCCAATTAGCAACCATACCTTTGCACAGTGCTGTTTGGGGTGCCCCCTCCTGCCACCAACATCTCATGGACATTAAACAGGGGGTGAAGAAATCCATCTCCTGCCTCCTTTGATTAACCCAGTGTGGCACCTAGCAGTTCTTGCAAATAAACTGGCTTCCATCCCTGTTTTTCCTTTCTCTGGGAAGGCTTCTCATATCTTAAAAATGAACACCGATAAAAATGTGCTAGTTTCACTCTTCTGCTCCTCACCCCTCTAGTGGATCATTCCATTATTTTTTTCTCCCAAGCTTACAACCCCAGGGTTATCTTGGATTATTTTCTCCTCACTTTCCCTCACTGATTCTTACATATTTCTGGTAGCTTGGCGCTGCACTTCTTCTGTGCAGAGAAAATCTGTTGCAAAAAAAATAAAATAAGGAACTTATCTTTCAGTGATGGGGCAATGTTGAGAGCGTGAGTGGGTAGCCTTGCACTATTTTTAAATCACTTTTTTTCCTTCAGAGATTCACATATCTATTTCATCTTGCTAAAGAAAAAAGCTGGCAAAGCTTGCTTTAAGCCTTGCACTATTTTTAAATCATATTTTTAGAGAGAAACATATCCATTTCATCTTGCTAAAGAAAAACAGAGGTGATATATATATATATATATATATATATATATATAGCAAAAATGCTTTAATGATGCAGATGGGGGGTGTTCCTTTGGTCCAGTGATGTCGTGGGTGTAACACAACAGGTGTGTCTGCAATAGCCAGCCTATGTCTTCATTCTGAAAGAAGGAAGCAACATGCTTTGCGGGGTTAGGGAAGTCAACCCAGTCTGGACTTTAGTGAAAATCTGAAGATCTCGTTTGGGAAGAGAGCACAGCAGGACAAAAACGTGTGAGCATTGTCGGTAGAGATGACCCATCAAATAACCTTCACTCTCAACAGCCACTGTAGGGCCTAACAAACATGCATGAAACTCAGCGTAGACCCATTGAAAGTAATGGACATGAGAAATTTAGGCCCATTAATTTCAATGCGTCTACTATGGGTAAAACATATTGGATACAATAATTCTACTCAGACTCATTGAATTTAAGGGTCATGAATTACTTGCACCCTTTACTTTCAGTGGGTCTACTCATAGACCCACTGAAAGTAGAGGGTGCAAGTAATTCATGACCTTTAAGTTCATAGGGTCAAACACTTCATTTGTGTGAGGACTTCATTTGGTCTGCATTTTTAAGCAACCAAGCTGATCAGTAATCACTGAATAATTATGTGGACTATCACAGTTATCCTTCAGTTTTGGCAGCTCTGAATTTTGACATAAAGGTAAAGGTAAAGGGACCCCTGACCATTAGGTCCAGTCACGGACGACTCTGGAGTTGTGGCGCTCATCTCGCTTTATTGGCTGAGGGAGCCGGCATACAGCTTCTGGGTCATGTGGCCAGCATGACTAAGCCCCTTCTGGCAAAACCAGAGCAGCGCACAGAAACGCCGTTTACCTTCCCGCCAGAGCGGTACCTATTTATCTACTTGCACTTTGATGTGCTTTCTAACTGCTAGGTTGGCAGGAGCAGGGACCAAGCAACAGGAGCTCACCCCGTCCCGGGGATTCGAACCATGGTTTTCTACACAATGTTGCTTAACATACACCGCTTTTTAAGCAATTTCTCCTATTGTCATGCACTTTAGTACGTTATTTTAACAAACGTACACATTTTTTTGTAAATAAAAAAATAACGCCCCCCCACAAGAGAACCATATCACACAATTCAGAGATATGTATGTTTCAAAGGATAGCAGCCTTTCCATTCACACAGTAGCTCAATAGGTGCGAATTAGGTAAGTTCACATTAAAATGTAAACTGAATGCATCCCCCCACACCCTGTGCCTACATTGAAAAGTTGTGAAACCGAAACGTGGCAAAAATATATTGTTCTGTCCATCCTTATTCACAGCAAAAACTATGATGATTTGGCACTAGATATGGCAATCTTTCTGATGTTCAGGCTGTGGGTAGCATTGCTTATGAGGGCCAAAAGGAGACGATCCACACAAAAGCGGGGAGTATCAGTAGACTTGGGGGAACCATGAGGTTTTCAGAAGTACAAAAAATATTTATGTGTGTGTACATTCGGGGGGGGGGGACTTTGGGGAAAAGACCCCAAAACAATCCAGTGTGGACTGGACATGCTCAGTGGGCATGGAATGTTGACTGGGTGTTGGGTACTGGTGGAGCATAAAACTGGAAGGAGGGGAAATGGAATGGAGTAACTGGAGAAAGGGCCTGGGCGGAACAGCTGTAGTTCACGCGGCAGCCTTTTTGTTGCAGCGAATGATTTTTATTGGGGGGGGGGATAAATATATATTTCCATCATTAAATAACCACCATTGCAATCTCACATTCATTGACTTCCCTCCTTCCCCTTCCACTGTTCTTTAAATTTTCCCATAATTTCTGCATATTCTAAAAGTAAAAACAAGCAAAACATCCATTTAATTTAATTTTCCACCCATTTATATCTCACTACTGTATGTCATGCTGTTGAATTTATCTTAATCCTGCTCACGTTTTCACTTGCTTACAGTTAGCTTCTGTAGTTCCGTACATAATTCAGGGTTTTTTTCCTGGCTCCCCCCCCTCCCCCACTCTTAATGTGATCTTCTTAGGATAAGCTCAATGTTCTTTTTCCATTGTTTCACCCGTGCACATAAGCACCTGTGTACAGTGGTACCTCAGGTTAAGCACTTAATTCATTCCTGAGATCCGTACTTAACCTGAAACTGTTCTTAACCTGAAGCACCACTTTAGCTAATGGGGCTTCCTGCTGCTGCCGTGCCGCCGGAGCACGATTTCTGTTCTCATCCTGAAGCAAAGTTCTTAATCTGAGGTACTATTTCTGGGTTAGCGGAGTCTGTAACCTGAAGTGTATGTAACCTGAAGCGTATGTAACCCGAGGTACCACTGTATTAGTAAAACCCTACTCAAGGAAAGCCTTGGTCCAGTCATCTGAAGAATCACATCAACATTTTCTCTCTCTCTCTCTCTCTCTCTGTGTGTGTGTGTGGAGTTTAGTTCATGCACACCTGCACATCAGCAATGCAGACTGCTGATAAGAGATGAAAGGAAAGGAAATATACCTGCAGTGCCACCTACAGAGTTTGGGGAAACACATGGAAGAACCATGGCTTTTGGGGAAGGGCTGTAGCTCAGTGGTAGGGCATCTACCTCGTATGCAGAAGGTCGCAGGTTGGATCCCTGGCATCTTTAGGTAGAGCCAGGAGAGACTGTCAGCAGTTCAGCCTACACTCGAGTAGGACCCTGGTAGAGACACATGCCCAACTGGCAAGTTCTCTTCCTCCTGGTCAATCGTTTGGGAGCTTCAAAAGCTTTCTTCTGCCTGAACATCACAGCAACCAATGCCAAGCGACACCGGCACACTTAGGGATTCGCAGAGTTTGCACAGTTTCATAACAGACCTCAGCAACTCAGCATTTGGGCTAATCTACTTTATTTACATATAAACACACACGGAGCACTGCAACATGGCTCCCTCTCTCTAGCATCAGACAGCAAAGAGAAAACAACAACAACAAAGGACAATAGTCCCACTTCATGGAACACAGTAACACAAACATCCTATCTTCATCACTTCCCACTCTGTGGAGTCAAAACATGCACCGTCATGTGATAGACGACAATCCCATGACTGCAATCATAGAGCAGGAATTCTAACAGAGACTCCCTGCCTGAACCCCTAGAAAGTTGCTGCCACTTAGAGTAGGCAGTCTTGAACTACGTAGACTAATGTTCTGATGTAATATAAGGCAGTTTCCTGTGTTCCTGATGGTCTATTCACACACACACACACACACACACACACACACACACACATTTTTATTGGTTTTTGCGTATATTTTCCAAACAGAACATATCATCTTATCTTATACATCATTTGGCTATTTTATCCTAAGGCTTCCATCAACCACGTCTAATGATTTTCAAACCTCCTCTTTTAATCTTACATTTATTGCCCTATTACTTTAAATAGTCCACAATTTATAATCCCTTCTCATAAGTCTTTTCTGTAATATTTCATATAGTTCTCCTTACAAAACTTCTTGTAGTCCTACAAGCGTAGTAAGTTGAGTACAACTGTCTTTCAAATAACTCGCATATTTACTCCAATCTTTCAAGAATTTCTGGTCCCGCTGGTTTCAAATTCTTCCTGTCATCTTGCCCAATTCTGCATAGTCCATTAACCTGATGGTCCATTCTTAATGGTTCTTCCACCAAAACAAAAGCAATTAATTCCAAACTCCTAAATTTGGTGAAAATTTCTAGAGAAGATAATTTCAGAAGTGTCCTGTTTCCTGGGCTCCTCCACCACATTCTAAGTTATGAAGGAATAAAAAGGTAAAATGACCCCTGGACAAAGGCGACTATGGGGTTGCAGAGCTCATCTCACTTTCAGGCCAAGGGAGCCAGCGCTTGTCCGCAGACAGCTTTCCGGGTCATGTAGCCAGCAGGACTAAACCGCTTCTGGAGCAACGGAACAACGTGACAGAAACCAGAGTGCATGGAAACGCTGTTTACCTTCCCGCCACAGCAGTACCTATTTATTTACTTGCACTGGTGTGCTTTCGAACTGCTTGGTTGGCAGGAGCTGGGACAGAGCAATGGGAGCTCACTCTGTAGTGGGGATTCGAACCGCTGACCTTCTGATTGGCAACCCCAAGAAGCTTTGTGGTTTAGACCACAGCTCCACCCACGTCCCCACTATGAATGAATAACAACACCCTAACTACATACAAGACCTTCCTACTCTGGCTTTAAGAATAAGTTACATGTGCCTGAAAGCAAGAGAAAGTCTGAATGAACAGATTTTGATGCAGAAGCTGGCAGTTGTTCCACTCACTCACACCCCCACTTGCCCAGAGCACTCTCTATGTGCCAAGGATCACTGTTCAATCACGCTGTGATTCACAGCAGGGTCACAATTATCCCAGCTGTATCGGAAATACGGGGTGTGGAGAGACCCCCCGTGTTCCTAACATGCAAAAGATCACTGTCCAATCACTCTATGATTCACAATTGCAGCAGGCAGGGGGGCAGTTCCATCTCTGCTGGATTAGGGGCAACTGGGGTCGGGAAGGCTAAAGGCTTCCCACCTATCGATGCTTCTGACGTGCATAAGATTGCTGTCCGATTGCCCTGTTAAAGAAGCACATTAATAGTGGTCTCAGCTGGGTTGGAAGCGCTGGGGGTGGTGTTAGGCTGTAGCAGTGGAGAAAACTGACAACAACCCCTTCTGCTCTTTGCATGTTTCTTTGCTCTTTACTTTGTTGTTACTATGGTGATGGAACAAAAATACAAAATTGTGTGTCATGGTTTACCGTAGGTTGATGATGTGTGTTTTTTTATCTACATTGGTGTTGAACGGCGGACGCTTTCTGCTCATGCACATGTCCAATTCGAAGTAAACCCCACCTGATTTGCACCCAGGACATATATCACTGGGGCCACTCATATTCCGCTATTCAGTGTGTGCAAAAATAAATACAGTGAACACTCGGGTTGCGAACGTGATCCATGTGGGATGCACGTTCACAACCCGCAGTGTTCGCAACCTGCGTCTGTGCATGCGCAGGTTGTGATTCGGCACTTCTGCACATGCGCAAAGTGCATTTATTTGCAGGACTTGGATTCCATTTATTGCAGGACTTGGATTCCTAAGGATATTTTTGTTATTAATGGGTGTTACAAGAAGTTTAGGGTCCTGGAGAAAGGCAGTTCTTCCGGCTGCTAAGTTGTTATTAGAAGGCACACACAATGGATCACCTGAACTCCAATGTCTCCCCAAGTGGTTTGTCCCCTGGGGTGGCAGCCTCAAGCTGTCCATCAGTCAGGGAATGGTCTGAAGAAGAGGACTGGGGGATGCATTCTATGGCAGACCAACTTTTCTCCGATGGAGAGCTGGAGGGGGAAGAATCACACACACACACCCTTGTCCACAGCCTGTTCAGAAGCAAAGAGAGAGGCAGAAGCTAAACAGCTTAGGGGGGAGTTGCCCAGTTACAAAATAATGATGACAGAACCAGAAGGGAGGGCACAGCTAGTATATCCCACGGAGGATCTTACGGTCTTCAAATAAAAACATCTTGGAGGTCCTGGGCCACAGGGAGGTTAGGCTGGCCTCAACCAGAGCCAGGGCTTTTTTGGCCATGGCCCCGATCTGGTGGAACGCTCTGTCACAAGAGACTAGGGCCCTGCGGGACTTGACATCTTTCTTCACGGCCTGCAAGACAGAGCTGTTCCGCCAGGCCTTTGGCCAAGGCACAGTCTGACCCCCTCCTTCGGCAATCCACAAAGAACTCTAGCCCAATGGTTGCCATTAATTTGATTTTGAATTGATTTTAGAATGAATTGATTTTAGAATGCATTTCAATTGATTGATTGTGATTTTATGTAAACTGTGTTACTTTTATTGTTGTTAGCCGCTCTGAGCCCGGCTTTGGCTAGGGAAGGCGGGATATAAATAAATTATTATTATTATTCACTGGAGAGCGTGAAGTATCCCCCCTCCCCTCGGACTCGGAGGTCTGAACATATCAGAGATCAAAGGAGTCAGAGGGAGGGAGGAATTTCCCGTTGGCGCCCAAAATGCTGCGGAAGCTGGAAAGATGATTAGACTAGGCATCTGCCCTCCTTGCGGAGAGCTGTGTATTTGTGCTTACAACACGACGCTGTAATAAAAGGACTATAAATCTGTCAACTGCTCATTAACTCTTATCTGTGACGTTACCGAAGGGAGGGGAGGACTCTCCACGCCTGACACCATCAGGATAAGAACATAAGAATAACCAATGGCTCATCTAGTCCAGCACCCTCTTCTCTCAGTGGCCAACCAGAGAGGAGAAACCAGTGGCCAACCAGAGTGGGAAATCAGAGAGGAGAACAAGAGCACAAGAGGAATGTCCCCTCCCATGCTTTGCAGGAACTAATATTTAGAAGCAATACTGCCTCCATCTGTCTAGAGGATAGCCATCATGCCTAGCAGCCCTTCACAGCCCTCTCCTCCATGAATCTGGATATAAATTTTATTTATTAATTTAAGGTATTTCTATACTGCTTAAGGGACACGGGTGGTGCTGTGGGTTAAACCACAGAGCCTAGGACTTGCTGATCAGAAGGTTGGTGGTTCAAATCCCCGCGACAGGGTGAGCTCCCGTTGCTCGGTCCCTGCTCCTGCCAACCTAGCAGTTCGAAAGCACGTCAAAATGCAAGTAGATAAACAGGTACCGCTCCGGTGGGAAGGTAAATGGTGTTTCCATGCTCTGCTCTGGTTCGCCAGAAGCAGCTTAGTCATGCTGGCCACATGACCCAGAAGCTGTATGCCGGCTCCCTTGGCCAATAAAGCAAGATGAGCGCCGCAACACCAGAGTCGGACATGACTGGACCTAATGGTCAGGGGTCTCTTTACCTTTACCTTTATACTGCTTAATCATTCAAATTTCTAAGCAGTTTAAATAAAATTGCCCCAAAAAAAAAAACCATGCAAGAATAAGAACAATAAAAATTCATCACAAAACCAAAGAGTACCTTAAAAGGTCTGTTGAAATAAGAAAGTCCTTGCCATGCACCTGATGTTTAGCAAGGAGGGGTCCTGTCTAATCTCAGTGGAGAGGGAGGTGGGTCCAAAATGCTGAATGCACAACTTCTGGTAGTCACAAGCTATGCAGAAGCATGCAGGGGTGTGGGCACCAACAGTGATCCCCCTGAAGATCAGGCAGGGGTACAAAGGACCAGGCAGTCCTGAAGACACTGGGACCCAAGTTTTTAATGGCTTTTTAAATTTATACAAAAACCTTAAATCTGGCGCAGCTGACATGTTCTGGCAATTTTCTGTCTCCATCAGTATGCAGTATGTGCCCGGGATGCTACTCTGAGGAGGCCTCATATGGGTTTTGTATGAGTTAGTCCTGAAAAATAGTACTAGGGTCATCCGTGTTTGCTTAGTCAGTCAGTCCAATTTAGAAATATTCCTGTCCTTCTTGATGTGCAGTTTCAATATTTCCTGTGGACTTCCAGCTTGTTGTTGTTGTTGTTGTTTAGTCGTTTAGTCGTGTCTGACACTTCGTGACCTCATGGACCAGAGCATGCCAGGCACTTCCACTGCCTCCCGCAGTTTGGTCAAACTCATCCTGGTAGCTTCGAGAACTCTGTCCAACCACCTCATCCTCTGTCGTCCCCTTCTCCTTGTGCCCTCC